TGTATGAGGTATTTTGTTCTAATTTGGTTGAAGGAAAATTATAAATTGCAGAGATATAGGAATTTTAAATCACAAAAGTATTTGGGAAACTGTGTCAGATGTCACTTTTAGAATCATTTACAGGATTTTAGGTGTTAAATCATTTTTATTCAAAATCGGTATATTGGAAAGCAATATAATACATTTGCAAAGAAAGTGAAGAAACACTCGAACACATTTTTTTTCTCGTGCCATGTTATTTTTAGTAGTTTTGGAATAAAGTTTTACAATGGCTTAAAAATACTTGTAATTTAACTATAATACAGGATGAGGAATTATGTTTTTTGGGAATTTAAAAAAAAACACCTTTGAATGAACGCAATCAACACTGGACAAAAAGCAATAAGCCATGCCTTGTATCTATGCTTCAAAACTTGATGTAAAAATATTATGAAACGGAGAAATATATTGCAAAGAAGATATATTTTCTAAAAAGTGGAGATCACACAAAATGTAATTGATTCATAATCAATCAATGTTGTGTATTGTAATTATTATTATTATTTTTTGAACATTTGTGATTTCTTTTATGCATTTGTGGCAAATAAATGTGACTTTGCCACACGAAACAAAATACAATAAAAAAATTTAAAAAAACATGAACATATCCGTCTATTATTAGCTAGATTATTATTGGACGAAACAGGCCCTAATTTTGGGTTACTAGTCAATCTTCATGCTATCTTGTAGCATCAAATAAATTAAATAAATCAATAAATTAATTATTAATCAATATGATTTTGGTGTTTTTTTCGTTTTTTTCTTCTCTTTTGTGGGGATAACCCACTTTTATTTTTAATCGTCTTCTTTTTTCAATAATTTTCTGTATTATACATATCTATATTTCGTAGAGAGAATAAATATAAATTCATTGAGTATTCTCATATTTACAACCGTTAAATTATTTTCCCTTAATTTCTTAAAGATAGATGTTTATTTCATCAATAATCTGTGATGCACATCTCATAATTAAATACTTCTTTATTTAAAATTATATTTATTTTGCTTTATACATATATATATATATATATATATATATATATATATCTAATTAAAATGATACAATTACATTTCTTGACATAAAATACGCCCATATATACTAGTTTATTATGGACGTACGTATTATTACTCATGAATTATAAACAACACATTATGTATATTCATATAGGCCCTATTTACATATTTTTTTGTTTTTGCGGTTTCCGTTTAAAGGAAATTACGGCCCTTGTGTGCTTTCTTCTTTTCTCGCATTAGGATGTAGATAATTTATTTTGAAATATAATATTTTTTTCCCTTTCCATCTTCGACAGACAATGCCTGCTGTTCACTCCAGACAAATTGTTCAGCAATCAGAGAATGTTGTATTTTCATTTGGGCCACAGGTATGTTGTATAAGTATATATGCATGTGTGAAAGACTTTTCGTGATATTCCATATGAAACGAAAAATTTGGATCAATTTACTATTTTTCATATTCAACAGGGGATGACCAATGCTTATGTTCGCACAATAACGGTTTATAACGAAGAGGTGATAATAAATGAGGCCGAGGGTCGGGAACAGGTACGTTGGGAAAAACAAGAAGTAGGCCTACTACAATAATAAATTTAAATAATGCATGAAACAACACAGTAAATGTATTGAATACAGCGCTGTACCGGTACATCTAGCAGGGTTAGTCGTAATTATCATCTGTCATTGAAAAAAATGGACATAAGCCCAAGTAAAGCAATATATATTTATATTATTATTATTATAATATATATATATATATATATATATATAAATCATCAAAGGTACATATACAGTGTTTAATA